CCACAGAATTCGTTTTGGCATCGTTGGATAGAGAATTGAAAAGTCGATTCAGTCGTAACAACGTGAGTGAGGAAACTCGAGTAGTTTTGACCCCGAAAGCAAAATTTGAATATCAGACACTTAGGTGCAAGATTATGCCAAAATTTCATGTTTTTCGTCCCGTTTTTGCTCATATCTCGGAGGCAAAATGAGCAACAACGCTCATTTGTACATCATTCTAGAGAGAAATAAATAGCATTTTTGGAAAGTGAACCATCGATCAGGAATTGTTGGCAGTTTTCTCAAAAAATGCTTGAAATCAAGAAGTTCTAGGAAAATCATTTAAATTGTGGTAAACAGTTTCTCGCATTTTAATTAGTTCAGATTTACATTATACAGTGAGTCCTAGAAGGATTTTTATTTTATATTTGCGGTTTTTAAGTGGCAAATTTATTTACACAGTTTACATTTACACATTTCTGATGTGTTATTTGGTGGTCTTTTGCTTTATCATTCGTCAATTTTTGGAGGATAAACTTTGCTTTACTTAAAGCTTTCCAAACTTGCTCAAACAGTTTTTAATTCCCGTCGCTTTTTCCCATTTTATGACCAAAGTTTTGCCAGAATTTCCGTTCTTTGAGTTTTGTATTCTATGTATTACTTCTGTTCCGTTCATATTGTGTCATTGTTTTCGTTTTCAGTCTAGTGTTCCTTCAAATTTCTTCGATTGACCAGTTCGATTTTTTATTTGACGAGTTCATTGTCATTGTTCCACAAATTGTTTCTGCGCTTTCAAAATCGCTGATTTAAATGTGGCGCAAACACCCTCCAAACTGTAGCTGCCGATTTTTTCATTATTCCTGTTTATTTTCCTGATGTGCTGTGTTCCCCCTCTTATTTTTAGTTCTTCTAGTTCTTTGTGCCTCATTTTTCACTATTAGTTTGGAAACGACGAGTTTAGTCTGTGTTAATAAAGTTCTGCTTATAATCAATAACCCATTATTTGTCTTTCGTTGCTGCTTATTATTTCTCTGGTTTTTGATCACTGTCTTTGTGTTAGAAGAATGTTTTGGTTATGATTGCTAATTGGGCAGCAATTGGTACAAAAATTTAGTAAAAACCCGCATTTACAAATGAAAACCGACAAAGTTTACTCATTGGCAAATGAAAATCAGTTCGCGCTTGTTACGCACAAACAGAATTTAGAAATTTCTTCTGGAGCTCGGTTGAGCAGAATTAAATAAGACACACGTTCCAGACGCAAAGGATTTCCAGTGAAGGCCAGGGATGGGTGGATATGGGCGATAGTCCAGTTTTCGGCACCGACAGTTCCAATTACATCACAATTGCTCCAGTTCGAGATGGACCAGCTGGCACGTTCCGACATGCCGTTTCTGTGAACATTCCGAAAAAACGCACCATTCCACTCACCCATGGGCGGTTTGAGGTCCAGCGGATTCTCACATGGGACCATTCAAATGATGTGATGTAAGTGCGAAAAAACACTCACTTTTTCCAAGCTCGTCAATACAAAACACCGCTGGAATATTGGCGGGTTAAATATTTTAGTTAAACCTGCAATTACGACGGCTTGAAATATAAATCCCTGTTGGAAATGGCAGTTGGTGAAACACTAAATTTCAATTTGGCCGTAAATGAATAAATGATCGAATCGAAATGATGTCCAATGGGATTTATTGCCGCTAAAGTCGGGATACATGAAATTTTCAAGCGCCTGAACACAATGTCACTGGAACCGCATAAATCACTGTTCTAAACGTTAAAAATTCACAATTTTGCAGCTACTTTCTGGGGGTTCCCGAAGGGAAACCAGGCGAGTTACATCTCTATAGAGTGTCGTCCGTCCCTCCTCGGACTGGAGCGACTTTGCCACCGCCCGTCTGCATAACCTGCGTTAAGGAGCCTCCTCCAACCTCTCCTCCTTATCTGACGTTAGACGAGAGCATTTATAAGTTCAAGAAAGGTAAGCAATCGCAGTCGAGAGAAGCGTTTGGGAAGAAAATGAAATTTTGCCCACTAGGAAATTGGGAGGATGACGACGAAGACACTGTGATAACAACGCCGGCTCCCCGCAAGCGAAAAAAACAGAAGCAAAAGTTGATTGAGAAAGAACCACCTTGCTTGTACCACAACGCGTGGTTTAGGTAAGGGTTTTGAAGTTTCGGTGTTTTTCCTTTTGCCATTCTCTTGAATGTTTCAGCTCAAATTCGCAATATTTCGTATTAGAATGCTTGGGGCCTGGGGTCCCGACTAGTCAACTTTACAAGAACAGCATGCCCAAACCGAAGCTGATCATGTGGCTGCAAAATAACACAAAACTGAGGGAAAGAGTGAGCAGAATGGCCATGCCCCAAATCAAGACCTTTCCCGTGCAGATCTCTGGCGGCTATCAGGCCCATGTCAGGTAAGGTTTTTGTGGGAAACTCGAATGGTTTCCTATTTTTCTGTTTTGCTGCTATTGTGTGATTTCCAATTAGATTACATTTGCCCCCCGGTCTAAGAGAGGACGAGATAACAAGATATCCCCTGGTAGTGCAGGTGTATGGCGGGCCTGGCAGCCAATTAGTAACGGAACGGTGGAGAGTTGATTGGAACACGTTTCTAACAGGTTTGTGCTTTTTACGTTGATTTTTCGAGAATCCTAACAATCCTAACAAACACTTGGGATCCTGCAAAAAAATATGGCGATTTAGACAGGAATTGTGCATTTTTTTACTGGAATGCTGAAAGCATGTGGCAGCAGAACATTGCCCAGTATGTCATACTTTACGGAAAGCGCACTCTCTAGAGCGGAAGTTATACATTCAGACAGCAGACTTTATGGGTTATTAAATTAATGGTTAAAGTCACGAATCTCTAAAATAATGCCCTGCATTGTGATGCATCTAACTTAGAGTGAACGTTCTGAAGTCGACAATTTAACTGATGGATGGAATCCCGGCTTCCCATCTTGAGCAAAGATCGAGTGAAAAATTCCAGGTGATTTCTTTTAAGGTAACAAAGACTTCATAATAGCGCAAATAGATGGAAGAGGGTCGGGCGGACAAGGCCATCAGCTTCTGCATAAGGTCTACTACAAGCTTGGCTCAGTGGAAGTAGCAGATCAATTGGAAGTGACAGAGTAAGTCAATTATTCAATTAACTCTTTAAAATGCTGATAACTTTTATTTGTCTAACACTTTCTTTTAAGAATCGCTCAGAAGCTGCAATAACGCGTGACTCATATTCAACCCCAATACAAAATAAGTTAAGCATTCATCTAAAGTGGTTAAGGTTTTTAAGGCCACCACAGAGCTTTTAAATTTTTGAGCTTAACTTTGGCGGTTTCTCAAAAATCAATAAATGCTTGAATTTAGTTCAAATTTTGCCAATTTATAGATTGATGCTTTGCAAATGCTCACGAAAATATTCAGTTAAAGGCTCGTGACGATCTGCGATTGGTGATTTTTTTTAAGGAACAGGATTCCTGAGAACCAATTTTTTTAGCTTAATTTTTGCAGTTTCTCACAATTCAAATAATTCTTAGATTTTTAGTCGCCTGATGCTTTGGAAACAATCACAAAAATACTTTAGTTGAGGTCCTGAGGAAGCTCGTAAATAAATTAGCGATTTTTTTCTTGAAAATTTTTTCACCAGAAGCTTTTTAAGCTGAAGTTTAGAAGAAGTTGGTTTAAAAAATCAACAAGTGCTTCGATTTTATTCAAATTTGGACGAATTGTAGGTTGATGCTTTGCGAATACCCCCAAAAATACTTAAGTTGATGCCGACAAATCTCGTAAAGTTGCGACGTTTTCGTGAAAACGGAACATTTTTTGACTAGAGAGTTTTTAGAGTGAAATTTGGCGGTTTCTCAAACATCAACGAGTGCTTCGATTCGATTTCAATTTGGCCAGTTTATAGCATGATGCTTTGCAAATACTTGCGAAAATATTCAAGTTGATCAAACTCCTTAACTTACGATTTTTCTCGAAAAAGGAACATCTGTGGACCTCAAAGTTTTTAAGCTGAAATTTGACGGTTTCTCAAAAATCAACAGCAGCTTCCATTTTATTCAAATCTGGTCCAATGATTGCCTGATGCTTGCAAATTCTTAAGTTTCTTCTGAAATTAACAGATTTTCACTACACAATTTTTGAACTGAAAATGGGCAGCTTCCGAAAAATCAATGATTGCTTAATTTGATTCAAATTTAGAAAATTGATGCTTCATAATCACTGGCAAAACTACTTAAGTTGATCCTAACAAAGTTCTTCAGGTTGCCGTTTTTTTTAGAAAAAGGGACATTTTTCGACCAGATTCTTTTTAAGCTCAACTTTGGGGAATTCTCGAAAATCAATAGGTGCGTCGATTTGACTCAAATGTGACCATCCTGATGCTTAACAAACACTTGCCAAAATATTTAAGTTGGAAAAGCTCAAAAGTTGCGTTTTTTTTCTTGAAAACGGAACATTTCGTGATCACAAACTTTTTAGGCTGAACTTTGGCAGTTTCTCAACAATCTACAAGTGCTTCAATTTGATTCAAAAGTTGATCAAACTCTTTAACTTACGATTTTTCTCGAAAAAGGAACATCTGTAGACCTCAAAGTTTTTAAGCTGAAATTTGGCGGTTTCTCAAAAATCAACAGGAGCTTCCATTTTATTCAAATCTGGTCCAATGATTGCCTGATGCTTGCAAATTCTTAAGTTTCTTCTGAAATTAACAGATTTTCACCACACAATTTCTGAACTGAAGCTGGGCAGCTTCTGAAAAATCAATGATTGATGATTTGATTCAAATTTGGAAAATTGATGCTTCATAATCACTGGCAAAACTACTTAAGTTGATCCTAACAAAGTTCTT